AGTGTCAGACCACTGGAACTTGGTAGCTTTCTGTGTTAACTTAGTCAATGGTGATGATATAGATGAAAACCCTTCCACAAACCGCCTATAATATCCTGCTTGCCCTAGGAAGCTGTGGACTTCTGATGGTGTTGTAGGTCTCGGCCAATTCTTTACTGCATCGATCTTCTGAGTGTCGACACTAATACCCTCGTCAGATATCACATGGCCAAGGAACGCTACTGAGTGCAGCCAAAATTCACATTTGGAGAGCTTAGCATATAACTTACGATCCTGAAGCGTCTGTAATACTATCCGCAAGGGGCCCGCATGTTCTGCCTCCGAACGAGAATATACTAGAATGTCATCAATGAATACAATAACGAACACATCAAGATAGGGCCTAAATATAGTATTAATGAGATCCATAAAAGCTGATGGGGCATTTGTTAGCCCGAACGACATCACCAAGAACTCAAAGTGCCCATATCTTGTTCGGAAGGCCATCTTTGAAATATCCTTCTCCTTAACCCTCACTTGATGATACCCTGAACGTAAATCAATCTTAGAGAAATACTTGGCACCCTGGAGTTGGTCAAACAGGTCATCAATTCTTAGAAGTGGATACTTGTTCTTTATAGAAGACTTATTCAACTGCCGATAGTCGATACACATCCGTAACGACCTGTCTTTCTTCCCCACGAATAAGACTGGTGCACCCCAAGGTGAAGTGCTAGATCTAATGAAGCCCTTATCCAGCAAGTCCTTCAACTTCACCTTCAACTCTCACAACTCTGCCGGGGCCATTCTGTATGGAGGGATAGAGATCGGTTGAGTGTCAGGCAACACATCAATGCCAAACTCAATCTCCCTTTCAGGAGGAAGGCCTGGGAGTTCATCTGGGAAAAAATCTGGGAATTCGTTGACCACGGGGATTGATTGTAAAGTAGGCGGTTTTGCCTCCGCATCCCTTACGCGAACGAAATGATAAATGTAACCTTTTTAGATCATTTTCCTTGCCTTAAGATAGGAAATAAACCTACCTTTCGGTGTA